ATTATCCAGATTGTGCTGATGCGGCAATTGTGATTATTACTGGCGGTGCTAACCAAAAGCCAGGCCAAACGAGAATGGAATTAGCAGCAAAAAATGCTAAAATTATGGAGGAAATAATTCCAAATGTTGTGAAGTACGCTCCCGACACCATTTTACTAATTGCCACGAATCCTGTTGACGTTTTAACCTATGCAAGCTACAAGCTGTCGGGTTTTCTTGCGAGTAGGATTATTGGGTCTGGCACTCTTTTGGACTCGACTAGGCTCAGATGTAATATTGGCAGATATTACGGTATTTCGTCAGACAGTGTAGAAGCTAGCATCATCGGAGAACATGGTGATTCAGAGCTTGCGGTGTGGTCCAGAGCAACAATTGCGGGCATGAGCCTTGCTGAATTCTCTGCAGCTACTCAGCAAAAGTATGACAAAGAGTCCCTGCATAAAATATTCGAACATACTCGTGATGCAGCTTACAACATTATAAAGCGCAAAGGATACACCGCGTACGGAATTGCGGCTGCTCTGACACGTATTGTGGAAGCCATTTTGAGAGATGAAGGATCTCTGCTGACAGTTTCGATTGTTGGAAATTACTATGGAGTAAAGGACGTGGCTTTGAGTGTTCCAACAAAAGTCGGAAGAGACGGCGCACACCACATTATGGACTTAATTTTGAATCAAGATGAAACCGACAGAATGAAGAGTTCTGCAAAAAAAATCAGATCTGCCTGCGAATCTTTGGGGCTCGATTAGTCAATAGTTACCGTTTAATGCTTTTTCCTAGTGTATTACAGCAGCAAATGTTTAGGTACCACTTCGCCTCATACCTATGAAAATACATATTTAGAAAACATATATCTTCAAACATTACTCCCCTCGTGGCTAGTTCTTAGCGAGCAGCAAGAATGTAGTTTAGAGGAGTCCAAATGTGATTCAAAATACTTTCTCTCTAAGAGATTCTCGAATGGCAAATCAAGGCACTACGCCTTCTAAAAGGTCAGGTACCTTTAACATCTTTTGAGAATCAGCAGGTTATGGTAGAAACAGATTATGTCTTATATTCATACTAACTATTGAGATGTTGCAAATAGTTCGAGAACATAT